AAAAGTTCAATTTCAAATACATTGTAGCTGTCGAATTTCGATATACTGAAATACGAGGTTTTAAGAAGGTAAAATATTAAACGAAGAGAAACGATCGAAGTGGAAGGGATAATCTAAAATTAAAAAATTCTCAGCCACTTATTTGACGGGGGAGTGGGTAGTACTGGCATTGCCGGCCGACGTTGAAAAAGTAGTTCTAAGAAATTTCGTGTATATATTTTTTATCCCGCTGTTACTTTGCAATTAATCAATGAATATTTTGCGCATTTGATTGCGTTAGATGAAAAAAACATGATGTCATTTTTTATAAGAAATGCTTGGTAAATACTAGAATTTGAAAATGTACACGATTTAGATACATAAGTAACCCAATAGAAGGGATTTATGAATTAAAAAAATTACACAACAGAAAATTCAAATTAAGAAATATAGATGTGATGTTCAGGTTAAGGTCTTTAAGTTAATGCTTCGTCAATACTGACTGTTAAAGAAGTTTTTACGAAAATAGATGGAGAAATATTTCCTAAAGGCAGCCCTTTAATGATAAGTCCCTGAAGGTAATTTTTACCAAATGTCTCTGGAACAGCTAAAAAGAACAATGAAATTTGAAATTAATATTGCTGTCAGGTTGTGAGTTTAATCGTTAGAAAATAACTTTTCAATTTTGGTGACAGGCGTCGCAAATTGGCGTATTGTGGCAAAATTCTTGTAGCTCTTTTGTATGTAGATTTTTCTTCTGTTTGTTCAGAAAAGTTTAGATAATTTTACTTGTATCATTTCGATAAGTTGCACCAGATGAGAGTAAAATTCTTAAAAGTTTATTCTAAATTGATCTGATGGAAAATTGGCATATTTGATATTTAGAATTCCTGTAAGAATATTTATTAATAATATTGCTAAAAATGTGTTACAGTATCGGTGTCATTACCGTAAAAAAAGTGGGAAAACAACAATATTCAGGGAAATTAGTAAAATAAAAGTGCAATATAACATTTAAGTTATGTTTTCCATTCCCCAGTTAAAAATATTTCTGGAAAATAAATTTTAATAGTAAAATTATTATTTTTAACTAATTACTTTTGAAAGTTTTTATATGTATGTTCCTACCAAATCAAGTAACTGATTTCAAAGCTTAATGATTATGAACTGAGTGTTCACAAATTCCATTTACATTCAAGTTTTTACGATTTTAAGTCGACGTAATATGTATATCTACAGTGTGTCCGTGGTTAGGGTGAATAAGAGGAAAACCTTTTTTATTTTACATTTTACCGAAAAAAGGCACACTTGATAAAAAGTTTTGCTTGAATTTAAAATGAGGTTACCACCGTGAAACTTAACATTTCATGTACGGGGTGTCTAGAAAATAAAAAATCTAAAAATTACGAGTAAACTACCTATATTTTTAATAGTTTTGAAAAGTGTCACTAGAAAAAGTTGTTCCAAATTAAAAGATACGACATAATTCCAATTTGTGAAAAAGTTGGCCTACTTTGATTATTTACAAATATTTACTTCCGTGGTTATGGTGAATAAGAGGAACAACTTTTTTATTTTAAATAGAAGGTTGTGAATAAAATGACATTTTATTCTTCACTTGTGTCAATGCACTTCGATAAAAATCCCCAATTATCGGATAAATACTAAGTTTACAGCAAAAAATATATCTATTACAGTGGTACGGTAAGGGTGATAACAGTTATCGCCAAGTAATTCAAGATTTCAATGAAATCTTGCGCGCATGTGCAACCCAGGTGTGCAAGTGGCGCAGTCTTTACATAAAGTAGTACAAAAATGTTTGAGAACCGGATCACTGGCGAAAACACCTAGGCAAAAGAAAAACTATGATGATGAAGATGCCACTACTGTGCTAGTTCTACAGTCAGTGAATGAATATCCAACTATGTCACTGAGGTGACACTCAGAATACTTAGGAATTGTGAAACATATAAAAAATTTTGAAACGAAATAAAATTCTGGCATACAAACCAATTTACAACCACACTTTAGAGGCATTTCAATGGCCCCTGCGATGTCCAGACTTAACAATAATGGACTTTTACTTGCTGGGCCGACTCAAACAATTTGTGTATAGCAGACTTTTGGAGAATAACATCGAGAAGCTAAAACAACGAATTAGAGATGTTGTACATATCTTTAGAAGAGTTTAGACGCAGCTACAAAGAATTCCTTACACGCCTTCAAATTTATGTGAACGTTGGCGGAGGAGTGTTCGAATAATGTTTTTATTATACATAAATTTTTTTCCAAATTTATTATGTTCTACAAAAAATTAAACCAATTTTGTGTGCGAATTGTTTTATTTAAAAACTCAAGTAACTTTTTTGCACGACTTGTACAAAATATCACTTTTCAGAAATATTAACAATAAAGGTAGTTTACTCTCTTGACATTTCCGGTTTTTTTTATTTTCTGGACACAAAAAGTTTTTCGTCTTATTCACCCTAACCGCGGATATGCGGTATGTAAATATTGTCTTTCACTGTAAAATCATCTAATTTTTTAAAGAGCCACATCAAAAACGTTGAAGCAATATTTAACCATAACCTCCCAGTACGAGAAATTTTTTTTAATTTTTAGAAATAATTTTTTAACTTTAAATTGCAACGTATCAATATTAGGCGAGCGGTTCACCCCTAAAAAGATGCTTCTAAATGAAGGTAACCGACTAAATTTTTAAAACAAAAACCTACAGCATGAAACTTTTTTTATTTTATAGTGTATTTTTATGAAAATTTACATATTCTTTTTTTTTATATTTTTCGGCGTGGTCAGTCAATTGTTATAAATAAAAAAGTTGTAAAAAAAATTACTAGCCGAATGGCTTTGTTTGATAATTTTTTATTGTAAAATGGACCAAAATAAACACTTTTTGTTCTTTGACAAAAATTCGAAAAATGCTTTGTTTTCGAGATATTTACAATTCAATGTGAAAAAAGTGACGAAATCGACAAACTTTCGGAATTTTTTTCGGAATTTTTTTCTGAAAAAATGCATAATAATCGGCGGATCTTCTACTTTAAGATATATTTTTTCGGTATGGGTCAATCATTTTATTGAAGGTCTAAGCGAGTAAAAAAGCAGTCTACAAATAGTGAAATTGTATCTCTAGATCCATTGACACATAGATGGAAAATCGAAAATGGGTGTTTGAATTTTAATTATTTCGAAGGAGTAACTGCTTTAGATATGCTTCAAAAATATTTTTGTTCATGTAGTGCAAAATTATAACTGTTTGTCGTCGAACCTGGAATGCTGTGCCGTCTGTGCGTGCTCAAATGAATGTCCGAATGTTCCATCCGAAATTGATGATGAAACACTTATTTCAACTCAAGAACTTGTCGAAAATAACGAAAAACTTATTATTTAAAAATTAAATAAAAAAGAAATTAATATACTTTTATTGCTCTTAATATTTTAGTAAAATAAAAATAAAATAATTATTCTATATAGGTAATAAATTATCCAATAACTTTTTTATTTTTCGAGACCGTTAGGTCAATTATTATTATTAGGTTAAAAAGCTTATTCAGTTTAGTTTTGGTATAACTTTCAAGTCAATTTTAGCCATTTATAAAACCAAAAATCGAATACTTAAATTTTACTAATTACTTGCAAAAACCTTACTCCGGCTACAAAACCAAACAAAATGATCTTTTGAACATTTGTACTGTTAACATATATCGATTTAAAAAAATCATAATAATGTTTATTGTAAATATAACCTAATCCAAGATATTGTAAAAAGAAAATTTAAATTTGAAGTGTTATCATATTTTTTTACTCGCTTTAGACCTTCAATAAAATGATTGACCTATACCAAAAAAATATATCTTAAAGTAGAAAATCTGCCGATTATTATGCTTGTTTTAGAATTGAAATCTGTTCAGCAGTTTTTGTGAAAAAAATTCCGAAAATTTGTCGATTTCGTCAGTTTTTTCACATTAAATTGTAAATATCTCGGAAACGAAGCGTTTTTCGAATTTTTGTCAAAGAACAATAAGTGTTTACTTTGGTTCATTTTACAATACTGTTTTCAAAGCCATTCGATGAGAATTTTTTTTTACAACTTTTTTGTTTATAACAATTGAATGACCACGCCAAAAAATATAAAAAAAATATGTAAATTATCAGAAAAAACACTTTATAAAATAAAAAATTTTCATGCTGTAGGTTTTTGTTTTAAAAATTTAGTCGGTTTATGCCTTTTTTAGGGGTGAACCGTTCGCCTATATAGCTAATAGTTCCAAATTTCATTGTTTTATCTTCGGGGAATTTTGGAAAATATAACTTTTGAGGATCTACCTTTAAGTAACCGCATCCCATTAGAAACCATTTAAACCTTTTCTCTTATTTCCGATAATAGAATGCGCTGGTAAAATATCGAAGACTAATTTCGAGATTTCCAGTTTATTAAAATTTTAATACTTTGAATAGCTTTTACGAAATTATAAGTTTTTAAATAAAAAAATAATAATCGTTACTGAAATTAATTGCGCCTTTACATTTTATTGAAATGTAAATTCGGAACGTAAGAGTTATAAACATTTTTGAGAAATTAAGAAGTTATGTTTGAGTCCGTTATTTTAAACCCTTAAATTGCAAATGTGCCCTCTATTTCGGGCACTAAGAGGAAAAGGAAAACAATTAACCCTTTAACGGCACAATAAAAACCAAATGTTGAGCTTCCTGGGTAATAAAATATTATAATTTTATAATCATTTTAGGGGATGCAACGTAAACAGGACCGAATATCGTAAAATATATTGATACGGGGCTGTATGTTTTGGCAGGAGCCGCAGTGCTGGGCCACCCACTAAGTGACGCATTATGTGTCTGCCAGCGATGTCAAATGGCCTGTCATCTGCCATGTAAAGCGGCTAGCTCCGATTACTAAGTCAACAACTTTACCGTCAGTAAGCGCCAGTTACCAACGAGAAAAAAGAAAGAGAAATAAATAAGATAAAAGCAAAACTTACAATTGTCTGTGGACGAGGTGGAAATAGCTCCGTACTGATAGTAATTGTCGGACATCGCGGGCGGCGGGGTATCTTGATTGTCGGGCATCGGACTCAGCGGTGCCTTCAAGTAACTGCTGGAAATTGCACTGTCAGGGTAAGATGGTAACAGCGCCGACGACGAGCTCCAATCCCTGTCACACTGTTGCTGGTAGACTGCCGGGTAATCATAATTTGAATAGTGCGAGGCAGACACGGGCGTTACTTGAGGCGAGGAAGTATTGTAGGAGCAAGTCGAGTACTCCTGGGGTTGCATGAGGGCCTGGTGGTCGTAACTCGTGGTTTGGTTCACCATCCCCGCCATGTTGTTAGCAAAAAACGTACCTGGGTGATACTGAGGCTTCATGGCTTGACATTTCCTTCGGAAACCTCTCGGCCTCCTCCTGAACGATCCTTCCTCAAACATGAATTCACTGGCGGGGTCGATGGTCCAGTAATGCCCTTTGCCGGGACGGCCTAATCCTTTCGGCAGCTTTATGAAACATTCGTTCAATGACAGATTGTGCCGCACCGAGTTTTTCCACCCCTGATACGACCCGCGGAAGAACGGAAATCTCTGCTGCAGGAACGTGTATATCTCACTAAGCGTCAACCTCTTCGTGGGAGAGTGCTGGATGGCCATAACGATCAGCGCGATGTAGGAATAGGGTGGTTTCTCCTGTCGTCGGATGCCGGACTTCTTGTCGGAACTAGACGGTTTGCTGTCCGGGTCCTGAGCCGTGCTCTCCGGCGACACATGCTGCGACGCCGCCTGGGGTTGCTCGTTGGGTAAGATGACGCTGGTGTGGTTCTGGTGCAGGTGAAGCTGGTGGAGGTGCTGCTGGATGTTGATGTTCTGGTGCACGACCGGAGTCAGCTGGGTGGACGCGCTAACTTCAGACAACTGTTGCTCCTTCATCATACTTTAAACATTTACTCAGTAAACTAAACAATTTAATCTCCGTCTTTATATTACAAACATTTGATACTCGTAACGAGTTGTATACACAAATATTGTATACACAGTTTATATACAAACACGCGACGAAATCGTACACAATTTACTAGTTTTATATACAAATGTCGAAGCAGTAAATTTGAATGATACTGGATGCGCTCAGTGCGGACTCGTACACGGTCAGTCGCAATATGACCGAGTAGCGGCGAAACCGTCAGTGGAGGATGTGCTGGTGCTAGTTGTGGTTTAGATCTATGTTTGCGTTGCTCTGGAAGACTGATCAGGCGGGACTTGTGCATGTGTTATGTGTGGGACGGTCCCGGTTTCCCTCCGCTCTCCCTGAGGCTATCACCCAAGACACCATCATGTCTCTGTACGGCAATATTTTTCAGGCGACATGTGCAACCGGATAACGAAATGCCACAATAAAACGACGAAACGACACATAATTATGTGTGCAACGCGATAGATGGCGGACAATTTGAGCGCGGACTTGTGCAATCCCGTTTTTTCACATATAAACAATTTGTTTCGACATATCGTTTGGTAAAACAGAACTATTTAACATCCTTTAAAGTATCTAATATAAAGCCACATTGACGCATTGTTTTCATAAACGCACCAGTGTTATTCTTACATACCGGGCAATAAAATTAGGTAAAAACTAATATTTTGTTCATTAGAAACTTGTTGAGTATTTCACTAAATAAACTTTGAAAAAAATTTGGGTATCAATTGTACCACTCCAGTCTTTATCAAGCTGTCTTGAATACTTTGTCAGGTCAAATTTAATCATAGATTTTTGTATGAATCCGTAACAATCGTTGAATAGGTTTTAGAGGTATAAATCACTTGGCATTTCATAAAAAATTGACTGAATAATGCTCCTACAATCTAAAAATACGAATTAATTTGTCAAAAGTGTTTTTTAGTTATCGGAGCTGTTAGATAAATGAATATATTGAAAAAATAAAGAAGCAACGTATTCTATGATTCTTGCATGAATATAGAGAAACATGTCCTTAATATTCTATAATATCTATTTGTATTTTTTTGTAGCTATTTTTTTAACAACTCCCAAGACAGGAGAGAGCCCAATTATATGGCAGGTGTAATACAGAATAAAAAAAAAACAGCTACAATATACATTAACATAATTAAAACATAAACGGAAAATACGCTTGTCAATACAAAAAGACAATATACAGAAAAACTTCTACGTTTAATAAAACAATATATACAGGGTGTTTCAGTTCGAGTAAATTAAACTTTAACCACAAATATAACTCAATACATTATCTAGAATTGCCTTATAGCTGTTTTACACTGACAATTTATTCATGAATAAATTGACGAAGTTCTTCATGAATTTATTGGTAAAAGGTGTGGTTTTACACTGCTACAGACTTTGTCAAGTTTTTTGACGCGTGAATCAGTTCTACCAACAAATCAAATATGCTTCTTTGATTTATTTGCTAATAAATTTTAAAAATGTCACCTTTCCACTCATAATTGTAGTGATACAACCGTTTTGACACATATTATATAAATATTAGTTTTTGTAAGTAACAAATCAGTAGAAACAATGCAAAACTAGTACGACGTTACACAATTATTTACATATTCCAATAACATAACCTCATTACTGATCTGAGGCTGGAAATCTGTTGGGTTGGTACTTCTGAACTTCACGAAGAAATTGTCGAAAATTAGAATATGTTCTAGTTCGTCAAGAACTTGATGAATAAATTAATGAAGTTATTTGACAGCAGATTTGGTGCATTACACTTGTCTAATTTCTTAATAAAGCAACTTCATGAATTAATTCATCAATAAATTGTCAATGTAAAACAGCTATTATAAAGCAAGGGTCTAAGTTTCACCGTTTTCACTATACGTATTGGTTGGTTTTTAAAATCATAAATTTTTGTAGGTCAGTGGCGTAGGAATAGAACTTCTACGTCAATGACCTAATAATCATTTGGGATTCGCTTTTCAATTCTGTGGACAATTTTATAACAACTTGTTAAAAATCGGCGTTTTACTGAAAATCTCAGTTGAATGATAAGAAAATCTTGAATATTAATCCATTTTTTACAAAAACTAATGTTTCAAATCTTAAGACAGTTCCTGATGGCAGATAAATCTATTACTGCTTAGTCGTTTCTGATATGTAACGGACGCATAGCGCAGGTTTAAAATTAATATGTAGGTGTAATTTTTTAAAGGAATTTAATCTGTTTGAAACAAACGGACCCTTGAATGAGCAAGGATACCTATAATTGCTTCAGAATGACACAAATGAAATTTTAGAGAATGAGCCATTGAACATGCTGTCCACCGCACTGCAACGCAGCAAAAAAATGAGCCCAGAGAAGGAATAAACACATTATGATGAATAATACACAAGGGGTTATATTTAAAATTTTCTAGTCGTTTTGCCACTGTAGACATTATTCAGTATTGTTTTGAATTCTAAGGTAATATGGTAAGCGAAATATGTTTAAAATTTATTTCCTATTCTTAAGAAACTAAATTTCTTATTAGAAGAACGCTTTCCCATTCAACTGAGATTTTCGGTAAACGATACACTGTACTGATTTTCAACAAGTATACCTTTTTTATGTAAAATTGTCCAGGGAATCTAAAAATGAATCGCAAATGATTATTAGGTCATTGGCGTAGAAGTTGGGGTAAAAAACCCGTTTTACAACCCATTCCTACGCCACTGACCTACAAAAATTAGTAAATTTTACAGTAAATAATGCACATATATAAATGTTAACACCACACCAAATTTGAATCAATTCGTTATAGGCATATCAAAGATTTCATAAATAATATGATTTTAAAAATCGACCAATACGGCCCTGTACAGTGAAAACGGTGAGACTTAGACTCTTGCTTTATAAGGCAATTCTGATTTATTGAGTATATTTGTGGTTAAAAGTTTAATTCACTCAAACCGAAACACCCTGATACATAGATAAATACATAAAAATAGTGATTTAGCTTCTATTGAAGATACATCTTTTCATACTGAGAGCAATAGCATAGGTAACATTTATTAGAAAAAATTGACGAACATTTGTTCTTGGTGTTTTCAAATAAAATAAAAAATTGTAGTAAGTTCTACATCACAAAATATTAAAATTTAAATGCTGTAGTAATTCCTTGCAATCAATTACTTCATTTACAAGGTTAGACAGAAAAAAAAAACAGAAAGATAAAGCGTCGTTGAAACCTGGTTAGTAAAAGATTCAGGAATTCCGCGACGTGGATAGGTAGATACTGTAGATAGTAGATTTGAAACTTAGGTATTTAAGAAATTGCCTATGAATCTTTTCTAGGTAGTTTTTATGAATTTCATAGCCTGGATTCCATACTACATTAGCATATTCCAGTTTAGAACAAACTAGTGAAAAATAAAGTAATTTAATAGTGGTCAGCGAAATCTGTTTAGAATTGCGAATGATAAATGCAATAGATTTTTAGGCATCTTTGGTAACGATTAACAAAACACCTAAATTCTTAAATTTTTAGGCATCTTTGGTAACGATTAACAAAACACCTAAATTCTTAAATTGGTCACAATTTCTTAAATATTATATGCATAATTAATAGAAGTCTTTCTAGTAAATGATATACAAAAACATTTCTTGATATTAAGTGGTAGGGAGTTAGTGTCACACCAAAAGTTCGAAGTTTTCAACACACCTGAACAATTTTAGATTGTCTGCATACAACAATCTATTACTATCAGTACTCAGATTTATGTCGTTTATAAATAAAGCAAAAAATGGTCCTAAGACCGAACCTTGAGGAACATTCGACGTTGCGTGAATATTCACAGACTTGAATCCACGGTACTGGACATATAATGTTCTAGGAGACAAATAGGACTGCTGATAATGAGTAAAATTTGGTGTCAAACCATAAAAAAATAATTTTTCCAGTAACAAACCATAATATTTGATAGAAATACATTTACTGTCTCTCGAAATTGTGCTTTTCTTTAAAATACTTGTGTAAGTAAATCTCAGTAGTTTTATTTATTTCAAGTTCAATTAAACTGCAAGATTGCTGGCCAAATTGAAACTGGGTTACCTAGTCACTGAGTTATATTTTGCAATATAACCTTTCCGTGCAGGTTAGTACTTTCATTTAGTTAGACAAAAATCAAGACGATTTAAAATTATTTTAGTTAGAGCTAAAAGAAATGAACGAAAAATACTAATCTGCAAAGAGGTTAGATTTTACATTACAAAATCCAAATTTTTTATTTCCGATTAGTCAGGAATCTTCCCTTGTGTTCCAAGGCCAATAAAGGTACTTTTTACAAAAATGTGTAACGTTTACAGCAATGTAATGTATGTATGTAACAAGTGCCCCAATGAAATAAATTTCGAAGGCTTCTCCTATGCTTTGCCAATGCGCATCCGATCTTCACCGGCCAGACGAAGTAACTGAACTGTAGTTAAAATGAATTTAATAAATATTATTTGTAGTTATTGTCTAAATGTATCTAATATTAGTAGAATTTCTTAAGCAGTTCTTTTTTTAGGTACTTTGCCACATTGCAAAATCAACACCTGTGGCACTTGGATTTGTCAGAGTAGATCAAATTTCCTATCTAAAAACATTTTTCAGAATTATTAACGTTGCTAAAGATTTTTTACTTTCGTTCTAAAAACGATACACCTTTTTACAAAAAAAAAGTCAAATATGGGACCTATTAAACGTATGACATATCAAATAATATTTATAATTATTATTTTGCCTTTGATGAGTTCCTAATTTTTCCAAATTTGTAGTTGCCAAAATACCCAAAAAAATAAAAACTATCATTTATACTTTCTAAGATATTATATTTTTTACAACGCCCTGTAACTGTTTTCTAAGGGCTCGAAATGTTCATATGAACTTTATTAAAGTTAAGTTCTCTATCACTTACTTCAGGTTTTTGGCACGTCCTAAAAATGTTTTAAAACTTTAATTCTATTTTAAATACTTTTGCCACTTTTGATATTTTAGATTTGTTACTTGATGCAATTGATTTTGCACTCAGTGCGTTCATAAATTTTACGTTAAAATACATATAGCTTTTTTGTTTGCTCAACAAATTTCTTTACTTTATCTGCAGCAAGTCTGAGATAAAAATACGTACTTTGCA